AAAAGTCATGATGTCATGTTGTGGACAGAAAGAAAAAGAAAAGGTAAGGAAAAATCGATAAAATAAAAGGAAAGGGAAAGGAAATGAGATAGAAGTAAAAGGAAAATGAAGTAAAAGAAAGCAATAAAAGGAAAGGAGAAAAGGAAAGGAAATGAGGTAAAAGGAAGGGTATAAAAGCAAAAGAAACGTAAAGGGCAAAAGGAAATTGAATTAGAAGTAGAATAAATTGAAAAAAGCCAGAAAAAGGAAAAGAAACAGGGAGAAAAATTAAGGGAAAAGTGATGGAAGGATGGATCAAAAATCAAAAAGCAAAAGAGAGGAGAAAATGAAAAGACCGGAGAGCAGGAAAGAAAAGAAACAATGGAAAATGAAAAGAAATTAAAGGGGAATAGAAAAACACCCTCTCAAGTACCAGTGGACCGAGGAACGATGCCCGCCCCGCACTCCCTTAATAATGAACTTTTCCAGGGGGTAAATTCTGAATTCACTTATTCTGCTTGACATGAAATATGTGGCAGATCAGTCGAAAAGAAAAAGATGAAAGATAGATGGATGTGGGATTAAACTACAAGGAGAAAGGGTCTTCGCTGAGAGCTTGGAAGAGAAGCTCTATTACATTTTAATGGGTGGAGCCGTGACCTCCAGCACCACCTTATGGCAGGTCAGGAGAGGGGTTAACCCTCCAGGGGCAGGAGGATCATGGGAAATGAGGTTTTTAAGGTCACTGGTTAATGCGTTTACTGCTCCCTCACTACAACTCCTATACTAACCTTCAACAGACATAAATGCATGATGGGGAAACAGGGAATTGCGGGACCGGGCCGGTTAAAGACCGGGTGGGCATCTCAACTTGCGGGCCTCAGCGTGCTTCTCACCTTCTCTTTCAGCAAGCTCAACATGCTAAGTGAGAACATTGTTCCGGTCAATTTGTTCCTTTCAGAGTCCCAGTGGGCAGTGTCCTTTAGCCTGACAGCACACTGAGAGAAAGCACTCTGTCTGGAAGGGTCTGACATCAAGACAAGAGTGAGGGAGAGACGGAGAGACGTAGGGAGAGAAAGACAGAGCGAGCGCTGTGCCAAAAAGGGAGGGACGGTTTGAGATATGGAGAAATCGAAGGCTGACAAAAGAAAAAAAAAAGAAAAGGGAAGGAAACCGGATGACAGTAAAAGCCCAATAAAATGTACAGAAATGACAGGGAGTTAGGGGGCCCTGTATTGGGGAGTGCCAGTGAATGGCGCCCCTCCGGTCATGGATCCCCTCAAAAATGGGGGAGGGGGACGGGGATATTGGTGTTAAGCAGCCGCAGGTGATGCAAAACCCCAACAACTGTAAGCGTGCATGTGTGTGTGTCCGCGCGTGTGCCCCCTGTGCCCACAGCACCTGTTCCCTCGGCACACTGGCCTCAACACTTGCACTGAGGGGTGAAGTGCGGCTGTTGGGGGAAAAGGGCGGACTTGAACAGGGCACCTATTCAAGAAAACTTGGAACACTCTACATTTCCCTCCTCCACATTTCAGAATATCCTCCGAATTACATCCCAGTTAAATCAGCAGGAGGTTTGCTCAGGCTCGGTGCATGTTGGGAAAGTTGCACGTCTCCACCTTAAGGAAGGCTGGTAATAAAACAGCTCTGTGTTTGTTAGGGATTAGAACAGCTCTGCTGAACAGTCTGTTAAGATGCAAAGTGCATTAAAGATGTACAAAAAAACAATGGCGGCAGCAGAATTGACATTGTTGAGAATGGCCCAGTTATGTTTCTGTTCTCAATGACGAGACTAACTTTTTGTCCTTATAAATACATTCAAAAATACATTAGAAATGCTATTCACACACCGCGACTTGAATACACCTCTTCTATGATGAAAATGTTTTCAATTTCTGAATGAAAACAACTCATTTTGATGAATTTATGATACAATTTTTGGGGGGGATAAAGCAAAAAAGGTCTGCGTGAAATCATAATGAAGCAATAGAATATTAAAAGTATTCAATAATTACTTCCTAAACAAAAAAGAAAAGAAAAAGAGTCATGTGGTCCCAATTTGCAGAAAGAAAAAAGAATACATTTAACATAAAATATTCATTAAATATCTGGCAAGGTAAAGAGGTCTCTTAAAATATCTGATTATTTATTGAAAATAATATTTAACGTTGTTTTGTCATGGACACTAATGTACTGTAAGGAAAACATTCAAATAGAAGTATGTGAGGATTACACCACATGATATTTTAAGCATCATTAAATTGATACTTTTCTTGTTTTGAAAGCAATGAATACAAGAGTATATTATATGGCATTTGTTCAAAGTATTTTTAAAAGATTTCTTATGTACATCATTGTCCCAAATACAAAGTAAGTGACAGCTTAATTTGTTGCTCATGAAAACAAACAGTGCAGCGCAACAAATGGAGTTAAAAAAAGCTAACACTGAAACCAATCTATTCTGAGTCGTACACTTCCTGTGCACTTTACAAAATGTGAGCTGTGGTGCTTATGATAATTTAGTGCGTAATGAGTGGTTTTGTATGTGCATTCGAAGAGGTCAGTGGAACGCTCATACAAATGCCACCTTCAGTCATGAATCACGGGCCTTAGGGACTGTCGAAATGAAAAACTGTGAATGCTTAAAGCTGGACTGAAACCAAACAAAGAAGATGGATGATATAACCCAATTCACAATTTAAAAAAATGAACAGTCCAAATTACTGCTTTTGAGCTTGAGACCTTTAATCATGTAGACAGTGAGCAAATTGTGATTTCGCGTCAAAGAACAATTCTTGTTCAGTAAGCTTGAGTTGTTGAAGAAAGTAGGCTGCAATCCTATCCACATCTTACTTTTCTTTCACTAAAGGACATCGTCTCCACAGGCAAATCCTCTTTTCACCCTCTTTCACATCTGCTCTCTCTCCTGGGTTCTTTTAAAATGCTCTCAACCTTAGGGACTTCACTCTCTTCTTTCTCTTTTTCCAGTCCACAAACCTTGAAGGATAACAAAAGAGAGCAATGGCTATTTGAATTTGAAACAGGGGCACTACGACCAAAAAAAAAAAAGTGTCTCACACCAAGGCTGCAGAGGGACTGTGCTGAAGAGCCAGTCATTCATGAAAGTTCACCCTCACGTTCAGAAAGCAGAATGAAAAATACTATTCTGGAACAATGCAACCCACTTTGTGAGGTGGAATATGAACAGCTGCTGAATGGGTGTGCGTTCAAACACCTGGGTGATACGGCACGGTAAACACCCACCAACTATACACATACCCTCTCTACTCAAAAATTCTTCAATGGTTCTTTATATATTTAAAGTATCCATCAAGAAATGTATTGAGATGTATGAGCTATATCTGGGGGACTAATAGAGCTCTTAATGTGTTCTTCAGATCACTGTAGGGTCTGGGTTATAAACGCACCGGAACATGTAGGTTTCATATAAAAAGGTCTTTGTGGAACTTAAATTGGTTTTGCTATGAAATTTGCCCATAAAAACCTTCTGGTTGTAATTGGACTAAATTTCAGTTCACAAGAAACAGGCTGAATGCGAAAGGAACAATGACACTTAGATTTGCGTGCTTTCCATTTAAAAGCTACTGTTCACGGTTTTATTTACTCAATTGGTTTTTGTCAAAAGTGCATTTCTCAATGCCTATAGTTCACCTTTCAAAAGTCTTCAGACAGTCATACAAGTGCATATAGATGAACTACTGGTCAACATCTTTGAAAACTCACAAAATCTTTTCTCACTCACAGACAACTATTTGGAAAACTTTATGTATCATTCTCACAACTGTTAAACAATGTATGTTCAAATCAGCAATGTACAGCAATCCGCAATGTATTTGGGACTTGTAATATCTTTAAAAAAAAGATAAGAAAAACAACTACCACAATTAATGTAGTAGTGGACAACTTTAGGCAGTTTTATTATAATCAATTCAAAAGAGCCCATCTTTGAAATATGTAAACATGTCTGACTGAGATGGATCAGGCATGCCAAGACATTTTTCTATGTGTATCAAGAGAAGAATGTTGATTAGCATTGTTATGTTCTATTGGCATGAATCTGTTTGTTTAAAGATGATGTGTTGCACGGATATGTGAAGACACATCTTATTGTTTTACAGTATCAGAGCTACATTTCATGGTGGAATAACCATATGCCAACAAATGTAAGGCATGCTGAAGCATAACATTTTCAAATGTTCTCTGGTATTGTGGCACATACGCTATAACACAATTAAAGAGCTGTCATTCTTGCAAGGACTTCTGGTTTCTTAAATTCTTGCTCAAAGTGTTTTGATGGGTGTAAATGTGGTTATGGCAGAATGAGTTCATTTGTTTTGGTGATTTAAGTGAATTTGAGATTAATTGCTGTCAAGTTGGTAAAGGTGTAAAGACGTATCAGGCACTAAATTGTAAAAGAGTCAACAAACGCAGGAGACACGAGAGCAAAAATCTAGTAATAAAATAATAATAAATAGAGGCATACGAGATAGCCTAAATAAAATGAAGGCAATGTTGTAAGAGCTGCATTTGATTAAAACAATGCCATAACTTAAAACTAAATGTAATAATGATGAAAGGGCTGCAAGAAAAGTGAAATTGCTGTCAATGAATACGTAAATATCATCCAGAATTTGACAGTGTTAATTATTTAATTATGTTGTTCCACCATCCGTACAGCTTGCCTTCAACAACACAACCAGAATGTCATGGGCAAAATTAAGTCCTGACCAACAACTCTCTAAATCATGTCTAAATAAAATAAAAAGTTTTTTTTGTTTAATTACAAAAGCGTAATCCCTCATTTGACAACAATTACAACGCATCCACAATGAACAAAATTATATGACTTGTAGCCTATACTTGAGTAGAAACAGCACAATTCAGGGGCGCGTGCAGAACTAAACCCATCGTCACACTGAGATAGAGAGAGGGACCCGTAACAACTAGTCCTACAATCCAGAACAGAAGCGTATCATTTGGTAAACCAGCATACTTACCGATAACAGCAACGGTGAGCCCGGTTCTCTGTGAATGACTCGCCTCCTCGGAACTATAATCCAGAATGACTGAGAGGAGAAGATGAGAGGAGGGGTCCGCGTGAAATCTACTCCTCTCTATCGCACCTGTCTCTGTGCAGATCTGATCCCTGATCTGACATCCTTAAGACAACTGTGTCCAAACCCCCAACAAATAACCCCCAACGTACACAACGACACCTGTCCCCGGGTAAAAAACACCGCGCGACAAAGCTCGTCTATGCTGCTCGTGAACAAATGGCATTCCCGGCTTGGTCCTGCAGCCGCTGCTGTACTCCCCTTCGGACAGCCTTCCAGAATCCAAGAAGTCGCTTGGAATACGCAGAAATAAATTGACTTCTGTCTAACAAATGATGGCAAAAAAAAAAAGAGTCCACGCCAGCGCAACCAGCTGTGCCTTATGAAAACGTGTCTGTCTGGGTTGGAAACACTTGCCTTATCAATCACCTACCGCTACAATACTTATTCAGTGCTGCGCCAGTAGAATGTACGCTCCTGAGCGCGTGGACAAAAAGGCACGTTCATTTGTTTGGTGCGCGCGCCGCTGCCTCCAATTTGAGTCCAGCAGCCTTTGCACTCCGCTAAAAGAAACTCTTATTGTTCGGGAGAAATGTAATATTTCCTGCAATCCCCGGGATGTACCTCGCGGTATTTAGTCTGAGAGAGAAAGATCACGCGTTTGCCCATATCAGCGCTGTTGTAAGTCTGTCACCCACAGCTATTGAAACGCAAGTCAATGCCAAAACCTGACGCAGAATAGAGCTGCAGACTGGAGCGGAATTAATTTGTTGTTAATCATTTGGGGTCAGAAAATACATCAGCGATATAGCCTAGCTACTTGGTTGAGTGGATTAGTATATTGACGAGCAAGTGGCAAAATAAGTGAATTTAATTTGGAGATCGAAAGAGCGAGCATAGGCATTAAAATAAAGCAATCCTTTCACTGCAAAGACAGTTTAAAATAGCCTAAGTTTTAATTCTTAATATAGAATTTTCTTAATAAAATTATAAATAAATTATAAATGAGAATATATAGCCTACACACTCATACTGTCGTGATTTTAAGGCGTATATTTTACATCAAGTATTTTATGATTATTTTATATTTTACGCTATAGGCCTATTTAAAGTCCCCATGAAATCAAAATGGAAGTTCTTGGCGTTTCTTATAGTTGTGTGCTCCAAAACAATAAAAAAAATTGTATTTAGAAGATAATAAGCTTTCAAAACTTACAGTCTCTGACTTCTGCTAATATGGATCAATGACTTTGATGACATCACACTATACTTCAGCTTCTCATAAGATTTTCTGTCCAATCAAATGCTCCCTTGAATCTACAGCGTTCCGCCCCCAAATGGACGCTAAAGCTGCAAATTGGTCACTTCTTCACACATTTACAATTTGAATGGCACATAGTGCATTATACTGTATAGGAAACGATTCAGACAGTGTGAATTTGCTGTCCATTGGGGCGAATGAATTCTGGTTTGCCAGTTATCATACCTGGTGTGAATGGCCGTTATAGTTTCTTTTAGTGCCGCTATAGAGCCATCTTTTTAGTTCCTATGAGCTGCATTGTCACTGAATTTGAAACAAGTATACCTAAAATGCTATATCTAAATATAGGTGAATACATCTGTGTCAATTAATATACTCCATACTATTTTATTTTCTGTTCATTGAGATATAAATTTACATACAAATCTTAATAAAGATTAAAAAATGTTTTGAAATTCCAAACAGGTGAGGTTTTCAAGACAGGGAGGGTAATAACAATCCTCTATTCATGTTCCTTCTTCTTTTCCTCATTCCTCTATCTGTGATCACAATAAGTTATTGTGAGGACTCCAGACCACAGAGGAGACGGCATTCAGCAGTTGGTGACTTCATTAGTTAAGCTGAAGATGCCTTGGGCAGGTACATGAATGACTAATAGACTGATATTATCAGACATATAATAAAAACAACTGAGCATTTCCTCATGGTGACTTAAAAACTAATTATTTTTATACATCGACAAAAAAAACCTAGGTGTGTGGTGTATGTATCATAATATAAGTTAATTTACAGTAATTAGACAGCATTGTGATAATTCAGGCCCTTCCACACAAAGTCAATTTGATTAGCCACTGTCGCAATTGGGGTAATTGAGTTGGCTAAGCCCCAATGATTCACAATTATTACCCAGTACGATTCTCCCTATTGTGATCTTTTTTTTAAAAAAAAGTATCAAATTAGGCCAAAGAAACTTTCAGGGAAACATCTCGCTTTGTTCACTTCTCCATATTTGATCTGAAGTAAAGCTCTCGCAAGAGAGCGATGTGGAACTGACAACAAATAAATAAACAAAAAGCTCAGTTTTGTTCTTCCTGGATTTCATCCCACACTGCCTCTCTGAAATGGAGCATTTGCTTCAAACCCGGGCCACAAAACCGTGTTGGGAACACGAAACGAGGCAATTTATCAGAGACAAAGAACTTTGAAGAGCAACATTTTTTAGCTTTAACTCCTGTTAGAGAAGCAACCAAAGATCACTCTGAATCAGTGCCGCGCTAACTCTGAAACAGTCTTAGTAGTGATGCTAAAATAATGTTCCTATCCTCCGCTCCAGGCTAACACTGGTTGCCAGGTGTATATTTAGGTGACTGGGCGAGATAAGAACAGTGAGGTCACCATTACACCGCAAAATGAGGTGCAATGTGATATCTCTGGGTAATGACATATATCTTAGCTCAGAGCTGCATTGCATGTGATCAAGCACAATCGAATTACATGCAGTCACAAGCCAACCATCATGTCTCCATTTCCTTGTGATTTGATTGCAGGTCCTGATAGCAGCCGGCGAATAGCCGAGCAGTTTATTCCATGTTGATATCCATTATTAGAGATATCTAGGTTTTAATGGGATGGGATACTTCAGTTTCGGCCCATTGCTACAAGTACACAGTCAGTGGCTTTACAGTAGCATTGCTTTTGCACTTGCAGTAACAAGATTTCACTCCATAATTCCATATCGTAAAGCACCATATAGATCATTGTGTTGGCTGGAAACCAAACAGCCTAATAGCCTACACATTCTCAATCATATAGCTGTCTTAAAGCTCCAAAGCCTCATTTGTTTATGAGCAGAAATCCATGCAACAAGTGCCAAACGCAACAATAAGCTGAGCCCTAGGTGACTTTTGTCAACCACCCAAATCCAAACCTCTTTCTTTACCGTTTTCGCTATAATCACAAGCACATGTACAAATCGAATCAACAGCCATTATTACTTGCGTCTCAATAAACATACTCTCCATGGAGTCTTGACTCAATGTTTGTGAATGCAAATGCAATTACAGGTCATTTGAACTTGGTAGATGTCCAGTGCTGATAAAAAACAGAGCTGGTTTGGACCAGTCTGACAATCTATTGTGCTACTAGAGGTTGGTAGCTTTGTTGATGACATTGTGCTATTTTTTATTATTAATTTAGTCTTATTTATAAACGTATTAAAAAATACATCATAAATACAATTCATACATACTGTACAACAACTTGAATACACCTCTTCTAAGATAAGTAATGTAGTACTGTAAAACATGGGGGGGGGCATGAAGTTAAAAATGTCAGGGCAATAGTGATATCATAATGAATAGGGTTACAGGCGATATTATAATGAAGTAAAAGAAGAAATGGGAAAGAAAAAGGCATTAAACCGATTATTACAAGAATGAAATTCTTGAAAAAAGAAGTTTGGCATAACAGAACTGCTTCGCTGCTTAGTAAAATCTGAAAAAACAACTTTTGTTTGCCTCAAATTAAAGTCATGTGGTCCAATGAACGTGCATAAACATGCAGGGGGGAAACATAAAACAGTAAATGATGTCATAGAGAGGACTCCTGCAGACCATCATGACTATACATGTGTCAAGGTCAATAAGTCTCTTAAAGTCTCTTGTTATGACAAAGCAGGATTAATTCAGGTTGTAAAAAAAAATCCATGTCGAGTGACTCCCCAATAAGCTTCATATCTATGAATTTATATATATTTATATACATTTCCAGCCATGCGAATATTCTACTATCACACGGTATCCATTTCACAATTTGTATCACTCCGCTTGTTTCTGCCAGATCTATACTGGCAGCGTTTAATGGTGGAGGAGCAAACCTAGTAGTACTTAACAAATACTACAGTTATTGTGTCACAGAATGTAGTTTTAATATGCAAGAGTTTTTTTATGCAATAGTTGTTTAAACCTCAAATGCAATTTATATATAAACATATAGCTCCTATTTGAACATTTGTTTTGACGTTTTCGGAGATGTGAGCTCCAAGTCGTCAGCGGCCGTTCGTACCCATCGAGAACAGCTTTTTTCTTGACCAGTCCTTCAGGAATTTGACTATGGCCTATTCACAGCCATGCTAATAGAACCATATTACTCGTGTGATATAGAGTGCCGAAGTGATGACGTCACTTTGTAGGACAACTCGGAAGTTAGCGTCACATGGGTTCCCTCGATCGAAAAGCTATGCATTTTCCCCATAGACTTTTGGAAAATCACAAAAAAAAAAGAAAAATATCTGTGTAAAAGATATAATAAATAATAATAAATAATATCTGTGTTCAACAAATTGTGACCCTTACACGTTTTGTCTATCAAGATAATCTTTACAAGTTGATTCAAAATGTATACAAAATGTATTTTAAAAAACACAGGCAAACACAATAAAGTTTAAAAAACCACAAGCAGATTATAACTGCTGTGTTTTATGTCATAGTCAATCAAAACTTGAAAATATTTAGAGGCTTTTTAACCACAGACCTTACAAAAACCCATTCAAAAATCCCATTTAGAGCGAGGGAGTGCTAAAATGCTAATTCACTTCCGCATTTTGGCCTACAAAGTGACGTGATAACTTCGGCACTCTATATTGACATAGCTCATTAAAACTTTTTGAAAGTAGTGATAACACCCTTTGTTTTTAAGAACTTGCCCCGCGTTTTTAACTAGGTTTTTAAAAGATTCATTATTTTTATTATCGTCGACACTCTTTTACGTCCATGAGAGCAGTACAAAAGAGCCTCATCTCTGGTTTCTCAGTGGTCGGTGTGCCACAGTTGAAGGCCTTGTTTGGTAAGGCATGCTGTGATGAGGTGGTCACGGTGGTCTAACAGCGAGAAGATTAGAGATCTCACCTCACCCTGAGTGCTGAACACACCACGGCCATGCACCCGCCAGCAACCCACACCTGACATGATCTCAGAGCAACAAACAGGGCCTGCGTGAGTGTCAGGGACATTAAAAACCTCTACGGAAAAAAAGCATACCAAAAGCTAGAGTCATTTATTTATCTTTAACAGCATGCTGAATGATAGGCCAAATAGTTTTTTCTACCGTAACCTACAATGTCTGAAAATACACAATGGCTTCCTGTAACCGTTTAGCTTTCGTAGTGTTGCCCTGGAGACAACGGTTTTCGTTTCACCTCTCTATAAATGTTCCGATGAGTTTGGTAAAACGCTTCTAAAAATGTCAGCCCGGGAGCAGAGGGGTGTATTTCTAACCATCTCGCATGCTCGCTGCCCACTCAGGGACGGGTTGATGAGTTCCCGTGATTGTGTAATGGAACCCGACTGTTAACTGCACAGGACTTTTTAGAGATTCCAGAGCTTTGTGCAACACTGGACTCGTTCCAAAAAACACTGCGAAAGCA